AAATTAACCAGTGATGTATCCTCCGTTACTGTTCACGACCTCCTCCCATCTCTCGACCAATTTGTTGATGGCGATTCGCCGAAAATCGGCCGTTGTGGCGTCGAAGAATTTGTTGAGGCAGTTTTTAAGGTCCCCTTCGCCATCGAAGGTAACACCCCTCATAGGGTTTAACATAGAGCGGAAAAAGTGATAGTCGGCAGGTGCAAGATCCGGAGAATGCGGTGGATGCTGAAGAACCTCCCATTCAAGCTCTTGGAGTGCTGTTTTGACGACTTGAGCAATATGGGGCCTGGTGTTGTCGTGAAGCAAGATGACTTGACCACCTCTATAAGGTCTTTTCAGCCGAATAGCCTCATTTACACTGTTTAGCTGGGTAATGTAGACCTCCTTGTTGACAGTGGCGTTTCGTTAGAGCAGTTTCCAAATGCACCATGCCTACCCAGTCCCACCAAACGCAGATCATAACCTTTTTTTGGGTGAAGATCTTGCTTGACTCTCGGCTTTAGCGTCTTCCCTGGGGCCACCCACACCTTTCAGTAGACACACCTAAGACACCTTCCCCGTACACACTGCATATGTCCCGAGCGGTTTCGGCTGCTTTTTTGACATCGACGGGAAGCAAAGAAAAGCAGATGTCGAAAATGCTAATTTTTTCTTCCTGGATATTCCATTTCTGAGCCCGAAAAAAGACGAACAATTTAATTATCCTGAATACGAATAAAACAGTTTTGTAGAGGAGAAAGAGCTCTTTCAAATGTATGCATACAGTTTGCTAAAAAACAAAATAAATCGTTGTAAAATAACTCTAACGCAAAACTCTACCAACTTATGTTACAACCCAATACTATTTCAGTTGTACTTCTTACTTCTACCTGTTCTTTTGTAATTTCATTTGCTGTTTTTTGTGTTTTTCTGATATTATAACGAATAAAACGTTATAAATATATACGACTGGATCTCTGATTAGATCCATCGCAGGGACCTGATTAGCAAAAGATAAAAGACCGTCGTGTTTGCAACCCCCAGGTTTAGGTTAATGGAGATACGGCGATTGCGCAAATCGGCTTCCAAGATTGAAATGAAACTAGTCAACATGCTATGAACATGATTCCTAACGTTCTTGTAGGGAAGCCTTTTTACCAAGAAGCCTTGCTTTAGGAACGACCCCGCTAGGCATGGTCATGAAAACTGTTTGAAGCTGCAAATCCTATTTTTATGAAATTGCCGCCACTTAGTATTCCGTTATTAGCACAAAGGGTTCCTCGCCTTTACACCCACGTTATTATAATTGTCACATCGTCTCAAATCGATGAACTTACACCGAAATTCTTCAACTAAACGATAAAATCTCACAAGGGTGGCGGTTGTGGTAGAAACTAGAGTTTTAACGGGACTCGAACTCGTTTTTGTACTTCCAGGCACGGTGTACTTTATACCTTATACTTTACCAGTTGGGTCGCCCGGCTTACGCCGGGTCTCATTTCTTATTTTTACTGAGTAGTTAGAAAGTGTAGTTATGGGA